TGTCGCTGTCCTGTGCTGCTCCGGTTGTTTTGGGGTTAGGTCCGCTGTCGGGCAGACCAAGCGCGGGCAGAACTCGGTTTCTGTCTGGGTGTTTGTCTCGCCGGGCACCCGCTGTTCCCTGCGCTGCGGATGTGTCTCCTCCTGCGTTGGTGGGTTAGATAGCGGCACGTCCCACGCCGCCTTTCTTCCTCCGTTTGTCTTTGAGGTACAGAGTCGCGAAGCAGCAAGGAACTAGGTAAACATATTTTTTTTTTTGCACTTGAGCTTTCCTTTTTCCGCAGTGTGGAGGTGATGGCTGAAGGGAAGCCGAGCCTTCGGTCAGATGAGGATGGTTTGCAGGAGGGGTGACAGGTTCTGTGTGTCCCTGGGGATGCGCTGTCCTCGAGAGCTCTCCCTCCCCATGCAGACAGCAGACAGACCCCTCCAGCCCTTTTGTCTGGCTCCGTACACAAACACCGTGTCTCCTCGGGATGAGCTCCTGCCAGCTGCCCATGGGTGGGGTGCAGGCATCCCCGGCCCCACAGGGACAGGCAGCAGAGGAGGGGCACAAGGGGGGAAACGGGAGCCGTGCTGGGGGTTTCCCTTCTGTGCTCAGCCCCTGGCAGTGGGACCCTTTGGCACTTTGGGTTTTTCCCGTCTGTAGCGTTGCACAGGTGCTCTCCCGGGATGTGTGCTTCATGCCCAGGCTCCTGGTGAAGGACTGCTGCTAGAAAGGGCTCTTCCTCACTCTTGTGCATTACAACTGCTGGCTTACTGGTTTTATTAATGGCTCCACAGCCACAAACTGTTCCTGCTGTGACTTGAGAGCCAGCGTGCTGGTACCCTGCAGAGATCCAGGCTGGGCAGTTTGATTTGTGAGGGCTGGGGTGGTCCCCGAGGTGTCCCAGGGGTTTGTGTGGGGGGACAGCCCTGGGGACAGCCCTGGGGGTTTCCTCCCGGCAGGAGCTCAGCAGTGACCTGCTCGGCGTGCAGAGCAGAGGAGCTCCCTGCAGCCAGCCCAGGCGATTCCCAGGCTCAGCTCTAATCCCCTTTTGAAACTCAGGGATGCAAAGGCATGGTGTTACTCGCAGGACTGCATCCCTTTTCCTTGGGGCAGCAGGCAGCCTGCGTTCCTCGGGGTTTGCTCTCTGTTTGTTGAGCGATAGCTGGCAGCTCCTCCGGCCACCAGTGCCAGCGCCGGCTCCGTGTGGTTTTGTGGCAAAGGCTCCTTTGTCATCGGGCTGGGACGGGGCCAGCATGGTGCCGAGTGCCAGGCGTGCGGGTTGTGCTGGGCTCAGCGCCTTCCTGCCGCATTATCTGGGAGCCGGTGAGCGTGCCTGGGTGACACCCCGAGTACAGGTTCCGCCCTGAAGAATTTATCATCTGTAATAAACCCAGCAGGTGTGCGCAGCTCCGAGGGTGTCAGAGCCGTTTGCCGGGGTGGTGGCACAGCAGGGACACCCAGTGCGGGAGGGTCCAGGGCAGGAGCGCTGCTGCCCACCGCTGCTGTGTCCCCCTCGCCTGCTCTCGTCCCTGCAGCGATGGCAGCCATCAGGAAGAAGCTGGTGATCGTGGGGGACGGCGCCTGCGGGAAGACGTGTCTGCTGCTCGTGTTCAGCAAGGACCAGTTCCCCGAGGTCTACGTGCCGACCGTGTTCGAGAACTACATCGCCGACATCGAGGTGGATGGGAAGCAGGTAGGGGCCATGGCAGGTGCTGGAGCCATCTCTGTCCCTTCACTCCATGGTCCCATGCTGGCAATGCCACTGCCTGGCGCTGCCACCCAGGCTGGTCCCCAGGGCTCGGATGCACCCACTGCACTCAGGGACCCCACAGCTCCCGTGTTTCGGGGTCACCCTGGGCATGCCCCAGTTTGAGGAAGACCGTAGCTATAACTGAGGAAGATGAACCTGCTCGCTCCCAGCCTGCCAAGTGTCTGAGCCGCGTCCCTGTCCCCTCGCAGGTGGAGCTGGCCCTGTGGGACACGGCAGGACAGGAGGACTACGACCGGCTGCGGCCCCTCTCCTACCCGGACACCGATGTCATCCTCATGTGTTTTTCCATCGACAGCCCCGATAGCCTCGGTAGGGCCCTGGGATCGTGGGGGGACCTGTGGCTCCCATGGGACTGGGTGCTGCAGCTGAACCCCCCT